TGCTGCCTTCCTCTCCTGAGGCGCCGGATAGTTTGCCAGAACCTCTTTGTAGCCGATCGATAGTCTTTCTCCATGGCCTCACCAAACTCCTCCCACGCCCGGGATTTTGCCTCGGCAACTGCCACTGCTGCACCCCACTTGGCTATCTTGGCTCGGCTTGTACCCGTCTGCTGCCTCCAGAGACCCACAGACCAGCCACGCCCTGTAGGCCTCCTTCTTCAGCCTGACGGCTCCCCGAACCTCTGGTGTCCACCAGCGGGTACGGGGGTTGCCACGACGGCTGGCACAGGCCACCTTGCGACCACAGCTAGCAACAGCCACCTCAACAATCGCAGAGTGGAACAAGGCCCACTCGGAGTCAATGTCCCCCACTGCTCTCGGGACGTGGTCAAAGCACTGCCGGAGGTGGGAGTTGAAGACCGTCTTGACAGGTTCTTTTGCCAGGTGTTCCCATCAGACCCTCACTATGCGTTTGGGTCTGCCAGGTCTACGCAGCATCTTCCCCTGCCATCTGATCCAACTCACCACCAGGTGGGGATCAGTTGACAGCTCCGCTCCTCTCTTCACTCGGGTGTCCAAAACATAGGGCCGTAGGTCAGATGAAACGTCTACAAAGTCTATCATCGACCTGCGACCTAACCTGCCCTGGTACCAAGTGTACTGATGGGCATCCTTATGTTCGAACATGGTGGTCGTTACGGCCAAACTGCGGCTTGCACAGAAGTCCAATAACGAAACACCACTCGAGTTCAGATCAGGCGTGCCGTTCCTCCCAATCACACCCCTCCAGGTCAAGCTGTCATTGCCCATGTGAGCATAGAAGTCCCCAGCAGAACAATGGAGTCCCCTGATGGAGCACTATCTAGCACTCGTCCCAGGGACTCCAAAAGCGGTGGGTACTCTGAACTGATATTTGGCCCATAAGCACAAACAACAGTCAGGACCCGTTCCCCGACCCGAAGGTGCAGGGAAGCTACCCTCTTGTCCCCCAGGGTAAACCCCAACACACAGACAGTCTTGGGGCTAACAAAAAGCCAACCCCAGCCCTCCGCCTCTCACCTGGAGCAACTCCAGCAAAGGAGAGTGTCCAACCCCTCTCAAGAACTTGGGTTCCAGAGCCAATGCTATGTGTCGAGGTGAGTCCGACTATATCTAGCCAGTACCGCTCAACCTCTGCCACAAGCTCCTGCTCCTTCCCCACCAGAGAGGTGATGTTCCATGTCCCAAAAACCAGTTTCCTTGTCCGGGGATCAGACCGCCAAGGCTCCCGCCTCGGTCTGCCACCCGATCCACACTGCGCCAGACCCTTCATGTTCCTCCTGCGGGTGGTGGGTTCACAGTAGGATGAGCCCATGTATCCGGTTCGGGCTGGGCCCGGCCGGGCCCCATGGGCGAAAGCCCGGCTACCAGGCGCTCGCTCATGGGCCCCAACCACAGGCCTGGCTCCAGGGTGGGACCCCGGTAGAGCCCTGCACGGGCCTAAAATCTGAGCCCGTGTCCGGCCCGGCCCGAGGGGGTGGAGCCCCAGCCCGACCCGGCCCGAAAAGGTTTTCAGGATTCTTTGGCCCGGCCCGAGCCCAAGCCCGACTTTTTTTAACCAACTAAATGAAAACAAAGTGCGTCAATCCTGACCAATGTGTTAAAAGATGTGCAGGATCCGAGCGTCGCAGAAGCGCATGCGGGAAGCTTCCCACTGAAGCGAGTGTTTTCCAAACCCTGTCTCTCAGAGAGACTTGTCACTTAGAAAATGTTCCCTGATTATGAAACTTTGGCTGAATAGCGTTTGTTCCTGTCTCCAATGTGCGACACATCCAGGAGCCGTCTGAGGAGAAGCCCAGAATCTCACATCTTCTTCAGCTCATGAGCGCATATGATTACGCACAAGCGTGACCCAACACGGTCTCACAGTAAGACTGGGTTGGAACTGTTCAGGTTTACGCAGACAATCTTCACATAGAATTGACTTACAGATATAAAATTAATTCAGTAAAATATAAAGCATTTTATTTAAATATCCATTCATTATTTTACAAGCACATCGGCAGATGGATGGAAGAGCCGCGGGTTGCCGATCCCTGCTCTAGTTCAAGATATCATTAAAATTCCAAAAGTGCTGAAAAGATTAAAAATGGGGCTTTCCGTGCATATACAATACATTATGGTAGCCACCGGGATTCCCTGTCTTGAGCGCAACGAATCACAACACAGATTCAGAGACGTGCGAGTTTGTCATCCAAAATGCTCCGTTTTATAACTTTTGAATGGTTGATCAGATTCAAATAATTCCAACGGTTCCTAAAAGTACATAAAAGCAGCTTTCCAACGATCTATAGCATGAAGCAATCAGAGTTAGAGAAAATATCGCTACGAGGGGAAATCCTGCTGTACAGCCTGATTGAAACGGAGCGCAGCGCTGCTGTGAAAGCGGATAACCTATAAAATGACATGTTGAGACGCAAACTCAATACATCTCTTTTATTGTGAGGTAATAATTTCTCCGAGTTTTGCGGTTGCGGGCGGGAGTAGACATGCACGCTGCAGGTGCGGGCGGGAGTAGACATGCACGCTGCAGGTGCGGGCGGGAGTAGACATGCACGCTGCAGGTGCGGGCGGGAGTAGACATGCACGCTGCAGGTGCGGGCGGGAGTAGACATGCACGCTGCAGGTGCGGGCGGGAGTGTAACACACACGTTGCGGTTGCAGGCTGTAATGGTCAGAAATTCAGCGGGAGCGGAGCGGGATGAAGAAAACAGTCCCGCACAGGGCTCTACTGCTGCGTTTAAGTGTTTTAATTTTTTTAATGATTTCGAATAAAAATAAAGGCGCCCGGCCCGGCCCGTGTCCGAGGTAATTACACAGTCGTTGGCCCGAAGCCCGGCCCGAGGGCCGTCGGGCCGGGCCGACCCGAGGGCCTAGGGCTTCAGTGCAGGGCTCTAGACCCCGGTAACCCTCCGGGCCGGATACTCCGACTCCGTGATTGTACATCCATAAAAGATCCTCTGAACCGTTCTTTGTCTCACCCTTCACCTAAGACCAATTTGTCATGGGAGACCCTACCAGGGGCACACAGACAACATAGCTCCTAGGATCATTAGGGCACTCAAACTCCTCGATAAGGTGACAGTTCAAGGAGGAGTAAGGAATCCATCCATCCACATATAAATCCATCCATGCTTCCATCCATCCATCCATCCATCCATCCATCCATCCAACAGTCAGTTTATCATTTAATTCATCCAACCATTCATCAATTCCGTACCAAGTCTGAACATATGTTAATTATCAGTTTCAGATATCAGTACATGTTTCTAAATTCACAGTTCAGCCAATTGTAAAAATGCACCCATTAAACTATTCTCATTCAAATGCCAGCTGTTTAAGATTTCAACTTTTGAGTTTTTAATCAATGTTCAAAGATTTAAGTTTTCTGCTGTTTAGCATTTTTTGTCCATTCTCCGCCTATATTCTGAGCTTTATTACACTTGTTGGTGATTTTTGCTTCTAAATCTTTGAATACAGACAGTTTAGCTTAGTTTCAGCTTCACTTCAGCTATTCAGCAGCTTCAGCAATCAGTTTCCAAATTTAGCATATGCTGCTAATTTCACAGTTCAGCTAAATGTAAAGATTAAACTGTTAAACGTGTCCTACTGAAATATCAGGTGTTTAGACATTTTAGCTGTCCAGAATTTTATACAATGTTCACAGATTTCAGTTTTCTGCTGTTTAGGATTATTTTTCTTTATTATGCACTTACTTTTTGTGCTTTACTTGGTTGTTGGTGCTTTTTGCTTCTACATCTTTCAATACATTCAGCTCATTTTGACAGTTTGGCTTAGTTTCAACTTCAGTTCAGCTGTTCAGCGGGTTCAGCTTACAGTTCTAGTTAATTTATTTTTTGTTGCTTTCTTCTTGCATCTCAGGGAGCAGCATGATGTATGCATCAGACCACATTTTCTGTATGAGGACCTCTAAGGAAAGCTGTTTTAACATTTATTAGGCAGACTAGATATCTATTCCAGATATCTTTAAATCTATTTTCAAATTTTTAATTTCCAGATTTCCATGATAGTGTTCTCACTATCCAAAATAAACACTTGATATCTTAAATGTAATCCTTCCTAGGACACTTTTCATCAGCTGCTGAAAGTAATCAATAAAGTAACATTATAATCTAATTTAGTTAATTTTAATACAATCATTAAAGTAAATGTAGTAGGAGCTCTCTGAAGAGCTGGGTCTTCTCCATTCAACTGCCACAGAGAGAAACAGCTCAGTGCAGTTTTCAGCATGGTTTCTGGTATTTGTCTTCTGCCCAGCCAGGACAGAAGACTGTGGATGCCATGTCCCGTCTGTGACATTGGTGATGTGTGCAGGGATTTTGACTTTATTATCAATGCTGTCCAATAAAGCCAAAGCCACAAAGTCCACATTCTGTAATGCATTCAAATTTGCTGTTATAAAGCTGTTGAATTTAGCTTGAAACAGCCTTTGGACACACCCGCTTGACTACGTTGCTATATCTGTAGCTCTTTTTCCAACTCTTTAGACCCCAACTCAGGACAGAAGTTAAAGTGTTGGTCTGAACTCAAATGAATTTCAGCTGATTCCAAAGGAACAAGCAGGAAATGGGGTAACGATGTTTATGTTACACACAGAAACTCTTTCAAAGTTCCCCAACAGATAAACACATCAAATGACAACAAACAGTGCCACGTCCTTTTCAGCTGCATAACAGGGCTTATTCATGCACTCAGTCAGACACTCTGCATGCTGTCTGTCACGAGGAACTCTCACACACAAAGACAAAGAGAAACACAAACACACACAGAACCAGCATGAATCCCTGAATCCTGAGCTCACCATCCTGATTTAGATAAAGCAAAATGTCCTTTGAAATAATTGCAGATGCTAAAGTTCTTCCCTGACCTCCTGATTCCTCATACACAGAACTAAAGCTTTGACCCACAGTGCTTCTAAACCCCTTCTTTGTTTCTTCCAGATGTTCAGGTCTTCTCTGAAACCACACAGACTTCTTCCTCACCATCATCTCCAACTCTGTCAACCTCACCCAGAACATCAACAGCACCAAAATCAGAGCCCCCCTCGCCTCCTCGGAGCAATATCACTGTTGCTAAGAAACAGCAGTGGGCGCGGCAGGGAGCAGCAGGTCAGCTCTCCTGTCTGAGCTCTGCCCCCAAGCCCTCTGACTGGCAACCATCAGGGGTGTTACAGGATGCATCTGAACCAATCTGGACCCAGAGGTTGGGACTGGACCAGGTATTGATATTGTTTTGCTTTTCAAGCTTGTTTCTCCTTATGCCTTGTGCTGGTCTTCCATCCTGGTAGACTTCATTCAACTCTGGTTCTCTCTTGACAACTACAACTTCATCTGTTGTTGTGTTTACAGAACCAGCAGTCTCTTGACAGGACGCCTCGCTGTTTTCCTGTCACCCCGACGCAACTGGAAGCCTCCCAGCCTACAGGGGGCTTCAGTGACATTCCCACGTCTGTTGTCAGCAACAAACTGTCTGGCCAGCGTGCCTACTTACAGAGCTTGGACCGCAGCAGCCGAGCATGGGTCTTGTCTTCAGGAAAGTCTCAGGCTGCAGAAGATGTGCGTGGTCCTCTGGAGGACCGAAGCAGCAACATCTGGTACAATCCCATCCCTGAGGAGGAAGATGCAGGAGGCCCACACAAAGAGGAGGAGGTATGGAGGAAAAGGGATGAAAAGGTGGAAGGGGGACAAGCAGGAATGTCTGATCCAAAAAAAGGAGATTGTTGCAGTGAGTGTCCACTGGAGGGTGCCACCTCAAAGACCAGTCACCAGACGAATGATGTAAAAACAGAAACCACAGGTAAACCTTTTAATTGTATCTATTTCTATTTCACACTTGGGCTTTTTTTTTTATTGATCATCTTTATTCGTCAGATTCTCCCCCTGCAGACACAAGCCCCGCCTCTCAGAAAAAAGGGGGAGGGTCTGGTAGTGTGATGGACAGGTTGAGGTCTCCTGGTACAGTGAGGAGACTCTCTTTAAAGATGAAAAAACTACCTGAGCTGCGTCGAAAACTCAGCCTTCGTTCATCTTCCCGTGCTCACCGCCAGGGAAGCAACAGTACAGAAGGGGATGAGTCAACCAATAAGAATGCAGGATCATCTTCAGTGCTGTCCAACCAGAATGTCATCAGCAGATATCATCTGGATAGTTCTGCACCCCCAGCCAGACCGCTGAGACGGTCGTCCAGACGTTCAGGCAGCAAAGGAGGTGAGCAGTAACAGCCTGGTTCCCTGCTCAGCACAACACAGTCCATGGCTGAACTGTCATTTATTTGGGTTTTTATTTGTGTTAAGAAGTGTCTATTTAACAACCACCAACATGTCAATCATAATTAATCTCACCAGTAACTCAAAGTTAAAGTGAAATGGGTCAATGAGACAACCCAAAGAACTTTGGAAAAATGTTCAGATGAAACCAGAAAGTTCTGCCCTTACAAAGTCCAAAAAATCACCAAACCCACTCTGGTACTGATGTTAAACCAGCTGCAATGTTGGCATCTATCCAGATTTTGGAGCTTGAATTACCTCTGGTCTCTTCTGACAGAATATGTTTGCATGAACCCCGTAAAAAAATGTAAAAGTCTTTTTTCTGTTAGGGTATCTTAGTGATGGAGATTCCCCTGAGCTGCTGCCACGGCAACAAGGCCCTGATCTCGCATCACACCACGAACCTCCATGTGATGTGAGTTCATTTCAGCTGTATGTGGGTTCTGATCCACCAAGGTGCAGCCAGAGGATTACGGGTTTACTGACCATCCACTTGCTGGGTCTGGAGGAGATGAAGACCACCAGGTACAAACTAGATTTATTCTAAAACTGACAGTGACAGTGGCATGAAGGAAACTGCAGAAAAGTTGTTCCTAAAAGTAGGGATGCACCGATGGATCGGCATTTGATCCCAATCGGCCGATAGCGCCCCTATCGGTTTTGATCTGAGTTTTCAAAATAGATCAAAGCAGACCGATACAGACCATTTTAGATTAGGTTACATTTCCTTTATTCCCAGATTATGTAGTTTGTAGCACTCATTATAATGTTGTAGAAAATTTCTGGCCAATCCACGTGATTGGTATCGGTGATCGGCAGCAAAAAACCTGATCGGTGCATCCCTACCTAAAAGAAGAAACTTCTGTGTTTTGTTTGCAAAATCTATGATTCTGAGAGATTATAATCAATTAATCCTTTAGCATTAATGCTAACTTCGCCTCCAGCAGGTTTTCTTTTACTTTCTGAACTTTTGTTCAGGTTTCTCTTGTTTCAGGTCTGATTTATTGTCTCTATCTCTGGTCCCAGGTCAGAAGACAGTAAAGAGGTCTTCTTAGCCATCCAGATTGATGGAGTGACTAGAGCGAGGACTGCCCTACTGACCCTACGAGGCCCTGCCCTCCCATTAAACCACACCTTTCACCTTGAGCTGGAGAGGGCCCGGCAGCTCCGTGTTGTGGTTTTAACACCAGGTACTAGAACTGCTTCACATTACAGCGGGAGATGATCCCAGCTGTAGGCCTTCAGAGTATAACAACAGTGCTTTTCTTAGTGAGTGACTCTAAAGTGCTGTACAGTACAGTCATTCACACACTTGTGGTGATGAGCTACATCATAGCCACAGCTGCCCTGGGGCACACTGACATGAGTGAGCCTGCCATACACAGGCACCACTGGGCTCTTCGACTACCACCAGTAGGCAAGGAGCGGGGGGTGTCATCAAATAGTTGAGACGGATGGAGCCTGGGTTAGAACCTACCGATTACAGGGCAAGCCTCTAACCCCTGAGCCAGCTTTGCCTCAAACTATCTCTTATGGCTCAAAGGAATAACAGCTCTACTGTCACAGAATCTTATCGGTTACATCTGAATGTTACACTTAACGATTACCACAAAGATCAGCTCATTTGCTGGGTAGATGCATACAATCTGAAATGATGACAGACTTCATCTTTTTCTCAAACTCTCTGACCAAAAAGTCTGAGGGTGTTCAGATCAGATCTCTAATCCACCACAACGTCCACCTTTGAGATGCCTTTGCACATTGACTTTCAGTGTTTCTGTCTGCAGCCTGTCTGTCAGCAGTGGGAGGAGCTAAACCCGGGAGCGACCAGAGTCATCTGTCAGAAGGTTCTACCAGGAACCGAGTGTGCTGCCTGGGTGGCGTTTCCATCCCGCCACTCTTTAAAGGTTCATCCCTGTGACTAATGATGATGAGATGTTGGAGAGTCGGTGATGATTCTAGTAAAGTGTTTTCTATCTCAGGGAGTCGTAGTCAGCAGCTCTGTGTGAAGCTGGAGCCCAGGGGACTTCTTTATGTCAAATTGTCTTTACAGGAAAAATGGGATGCCCAGGTACTCTCAAAAGCACCCAAATAGTACTGTTGAGTTCTCACTGCAGTAATGTAACTATTGGTGTCAGCAGCACCGTGGAGATGCATCTGCACCTACCAATGTGTTTGGGGTTGAATTGCACCACCTGGTGGAGAAAGAGAAATCTGCAACTCCGGTGCCCCTGGTGATCCAGAAAACGGTGGCTGAAATTGAGCAACGGGGACTGAAGGTAATAAAAACACTCACCGCTGTCTCAATGACAGCTTATTGAAGTTGAACGCATGGTGCTGATCTGAGTGTTGACGTGTTTATTTTTCATCTTGTAGCTACCAGATGCTTTTAATCCAAAGCCACTTACATGTTGTTGGTTTGTGTCAGGTGGTGGGTCTGTACCGACTGTGTGGTTCTGCTGCTGTGAAGAAAGAGCTCAGAGACTGGTTTGAGAGGAACAGTTCGGCTGTCTGTCTGTCAGAGGACCTCTACCCCGACATCAATGTCATCACAGGTTCATGAGCACAGCTGAGGTCCTGAACCAGACACTAAATCTGGATCTAGTCCTGGGGACTCATTTATCAAACATTACGTAGACCCCTTACTAAAACCGTACTTAAGCTCAGCAAAAAAAATGTACTTGTGTACTGTGTGTGTGTGTGTGTGTGTGTGGGGGGGGGGGGGGGGTCTTGTTCTGTCTGAAAACGAAGCAGTACAAGTGATAATACTGCAGGATAATTTTATCCTTCTCAGCAGCAGCACTGCAGGTGCTCTCCATGTCTAAAATGTGCGTAAGCCAGGTCCTTAGTCAACTTAAAGTTGTGCACATTTTTCCGCTAAGTTTTCTTTCATAAATCCCAAAGTTTGCGTGGAAAGTTGCTTACACCCCCCGTTTTGTGCGTAAGCAAGCTTGATAAATGAGGCCCCTGGACTTTAACCCAGATTTCAAATTGAAGTAGACGTAAATTTGATTCTTAGCATCTTAGTTCTGGGTCTGTAGTTGTTTCGTTTTTCGTTTGGATTCTGAGTCTCTGTGAGTATCTTGAAGCTCAAACAGTTAAATAGATGACCTCAGAAACTGAGATTTGACTCATTATTGAAATGTGATCAATATTTAAAATTTGTGACTTATTGAATGAAGGAGAAAGATCAGCAGTTTTGTTATTTGTGATTCAACTTTATATTCTGTAATCTAGCAAATCAAGCAACAACAATCATTTACAAGTTAATTCATTATAGTGTGTGGACATTTATCATTTATGTGAGTGTTTGACCATTTGTAAATAGAATAGAACTTTATTGATCCTACATGGGGAAATTCAGTTTCAGAGCAACCCATCCAACACAGAACATTCAAAAGACACAAAACAGGATCAGGCTGAGCTGTGGCCAGACTGCTATGCTGATAGGGCTCCCTTTAAGACAATTATCCACAATCAAGGATCAGGGGTAGCAATGCATTGCCAGTGTCCGGTGTGCAGCATCAATGTGCACACTTTGGTCCTTGCCACTGAGGTGTGTTGGAGGAAGGAGCTACCTGCTCCGATCTCATAGTGGAAAAATGTTGTCCATCGTGTTGAAAGAGCAGCTGACCAGATGTATAACTTTATAATTTCCAGCTTTCAGAAGCAAGGCAGAAAAGCACTGTGGAGACAGCCAGACAGGACAAAGGGCCTTGGGAAGATAAGGGAGGTTAAAGAAAAAGCGACTGCTCCCTCCAAGAGACGGAATAAATAACAGTTGGACACTAAACCAACTACAGTCCCAGCCAGAGATATTATGTTAGCTGGTCCCTTTTACAGTCTGAGCTGACTCTAGACCCTGAGACAACACAGTCCTAGACTTTGGTGTGTCTTCAGAGATCAGGACTTTATTGGACAACTTGGACCTGTGCCATAGTGACTCAGATGTCATGCTCATCTTGACCATTTTCTGGTGTTTTCTCAGGTATTCTGAAGGACTACTTGCGTGAGCTGCCATCTCCTCTTATCACCAGGACTCTATATCAAGTAGTCCGAGAGGCCATGAAACATCAACCCCCTCCTGTGGCCTCTGACCCCCAGCTGGCCCAAAGCACAGTTCAGCTTCTGTCCTGTCTGCCATCTCCAGAGAAGGTAATACAAAGTACTTTTTGGTTAGCAGCACAAACTTGTGCTGTCACCTCTTTGTAGTACACTTTTACTACCTCTAGGAAAAAGTTTGGCTTGGTCTGGACCAGAGTCACAGTCATGTACTCTCAGCGCATTGAAAGATTGGGAAGCTTGAACAAGGTCTCTCTCTTTTCTATGGTTTAAAACTCAACAGTTAGCTAACAGGGTACAGCAGGTAGGGTTGGCTTTATGTCGATAGACTTCTGATGATCAACTTTCTCTCTCAGGCCACACTCTCCCTCCTGCTGGATCACCTCAGCCTGGTGGCGTCCTTCAGCTCCTTCAACAGGATGACCCACCAGAACCTTGCAGTCTGCTTCGGCCCAGTACTCCTCACGCCAACCCAGGATGTGTGGAAATCAGGAGGAACAGGGAGAGCAAGTAGAGGAATTGGGAAGGTCTTCAGTCCTGGTGATGAGATGGCGAGTGCGGTAGACTTCAAACGGCACATTGAGGCATTGCACTACCTCCTGCAGCTGTGGCCAGGTGAGACAGGACAGCTCTGCCCACTCACTGTCGCTATAGAAACTAGAGGTACACTGGCACACATAGGGCAGGATTGAGTGTTTACAGTGATCCCTCGCTACTTCGCAGTTTGTTTATTGCGGATTCACGACTTCGCGAATTTTTTCTTTGGAGCCTTATTCAAGGGAAATTCGCCGATTCGCGGTATTTTTCACCAATTCGCGGCATTTTTCTATGCGAAATATCAAGAAATTCCTGTTTTTTTCATCAATTTCATCATAAAATGCACTTTTTGTAATAAAACTATAAAAAAACAAGTAAAACTTTTTTTTTCTTGAGTTTTACCCACAAAAAGAGAATGTGATCATACGATAATTCAATATAGTACTGTACTGTAAATATTGTGTCCCTACTTCGCGGATTTTCACCTATCGCGGCCAGGTCGAACGCATCTACCGCTATAAACGAGGGATCACTGTACTTCAGTTTTGGAGTCTCACGGTTCTCTACAACAGAAAAAAATAAAACTAATGTTACATTTTGTTTGATTTTGATTTAAGCAGATATTATTTTTTATTTTTTATTTTTTTTTAAGGAACAGTGCATATTAATGAACTTCAACAACAAATTGTATCAGAAAATATGCCAGATTGTATAGCACAGTACTAATTTACATCTGCAGTCCCTAGGCAGGTGATGAAACCAATAGAAGAAAGCAAAGTATTAAACTTGAAACTAGGAAAAATTGAAAGAAAACACACAGCATGTCTCTGCCAGGTCAGGACAAATTACTGACCTGGTGTGAGGTTTGAAGATACCAGTCCAGGTACAGTGATTGGTAACATCGTTTAAAAATCATATTGAGCATGTCTAAACTGTAAACAGCATCCAATGGTTCTAACAGAAAGTTTGATAAGTGCTTGAACTGAAAGAAATCAAGTGGGTATAAATACAGAACTGAAAATCCTCTTCCAATGTAAAACTACAAAATCCAGTCCAACTTTTATGTAAGGCGCTGTTAAATCCCAGATGATGGGCTAGTTACACAACACCTCTAATGAAACCACTCACATTTTACTCCCCCTCAGTGCCGACCCATCAAGTTCCAGCAGACAGCTACAGTGAACCCACCCCTCCGACCTCACCCATTCTTACCCAGAATCCCCTGGGCCGGTTGTCACAGCAGCGCCGACCTGTCATGCGACTGGCCCTGTCTCCGAACCTGGAAGGGGAGGTAGTGGTATCACGTCGAGGGCGAAGCGGATTGACCCGGATGGAGAGTCCACCGCCAGTGAACCGATATGCTGGAGACTGGAGTGTCTGCGGCCGCGGGCTTCTGTCTGGACAGGAAGCTGACTACGATGAGGTGGCAGGAAGTGAGAGTGATGAAGGTAAAAACAACAGGAAGCACCTTCAAAAAGAGATTCACCTGTATCTTAGTTTGACCTGATGAAAAAAATGAAAACATGAACAAAGATCTCGCAGATGAAATATTCCTCGGCTCAAGAGCTGATGGTAACAGGAACACAACCTCTGCTGCCTCTTGTTGTTTCAGGAAGTGGGGAAGAGGAGGAGGGAGAAGCACAGAAGCAGGTGTGGTCCTCAGGGGTGGCAGGAGGTGGTTTGTTTGTAGACGAGTATATGGATTTTGATGCTCCATTCAACTGCCGACTCAGCTTAAAGGACTTCGACACCCTGATCCACGACCTGGACCGAGAGCTGGCCAAACAGATCAACATCTGTCTGTAGAGAAGAAGGACCTGTCTGTAAGCTAGTGCCACAGTGATGGTGATGATGAAGATAATCATGGTGATATTAGAACACATCAATTGTTTTTACGAGAAAACTTTCAGATATTTTGTCATTTGTTTTTATCCTTGAAAATGATCTTAATGCAGATTTTATTTTCTGTTTGGGAGGAAATGATCTCAGATCAATTTATTTATAACTGGTGCCCAACCATAAGCATTGACTATTCAGTCGTTTTTAACAATCACAGTTTGTTTTATCATTTCAAAGATTTAGCGACATTCGTTTAAAGGTTCACATGTGGAAAAAAAGATTACTAGACTTTTTAGATAAATAAAATCAGCTAATAATCAAAATGCTTTTAGATGTAGAAAAGAACAAAATACCTAAACTAACATTACATGACTCTTTCTCATTCAGAGTGCAGTTTCCTCTAAAAGAGTAAACATGAGAAAATCATCAAATGTCACAATTATCTGAAGCTTTTCTCAGCAAGAAACACATTTCTAATGAAAAGACAAACTGAAACTTTTTCAGGTGATCCTGAAGTCTGTGTTGAAATACTGACATCAGGCAGGAAGAAGTTTGACTTTTCTAAAAACAATCAGCAGAACATCGAACCAGGACCAGGCTGTGCTGTGCCAAAAGAAGCAGTACCAAACTAATGCATATGTTCCCAAAGGCAGGAGAACCTGCAGAAGATTCTCACTGCAGGTTCCATCTTGACATTAGCAGGAGTCATGCCCAGGGCTCTTATGGGTCAGGCAGAATGTATTCACGTTGGTTCCTGGTGAATGTGTTCTGTTACACGGTACTTTCCTTTCCAGATCAGTTCTGTATGTATGTAGTCCCACTGAATGAACAGGTATACTTTGGTTGAATCGGAAAAGGGTAGAATGCCTTCTCCAGGTCAGGGATGAGGTCCTGCCTCAAGTGGAAGAGTTAAAGTATCTCAGGGTCTTGTTCACAAGTGAGGGAAAGATGGAGCTGGAGATCAATAGGTGGGTTGGTGCTGCATCTGCAGTGATGCGGGCGCTGTACCGGTCTGTCGTGGTGAAAAGAGAGCTGAGCTGGAAGGCAAAGCTCTCGATTTATTGGTTGCTCTACGTTCACCCTCACCTATGGTCACGAGCTTTGGGTAATGATCGAAAGAATGAGATCGCGGATACAAGCGGTCGAAATGAGTTTTCTCCGCAGGGCGGCTGGGCTCTCCCTTAGAGATAAAGTGAGAAGCTCAGTCATCTGGGAGGGGCTCGGAGTAGATTCGCTGCTCCTCCACATCGAGAGGAGCCTGTTGAGGTGGCTCAGGCACCTGTATGGGATGCCTCCTGGACGCCTCCCTGGTGAGGTTTTCTGGACATGTCCAACCGGGAGGAGACTTAAAGAGAGACCCAGGACACGCTGGAGGGACGACATCTCTCAGCTGGCCAGGAAACGCCTTGGGATTCCCCCGGGAGAGCTGGCCCAAGTGGCTGGGGAGAGGGAAGTCTGGGCCTTCCTGCTTAGACTGCTGCCCCTGCGACACAAACCCGGATAAGCGGACGAAAATGGATGAATAGATATTGGTAGAAATTCGAAGCTAATTGTGACTAAAGAACTATTTGCTTCATTTCTACAGAACACTTCAAACACAATATTTCTACCCTACTTCACAAGGTGCAGAGAGGAACCAAATCTCTGAGTGGGTAGAGCTACATTTAATGAGTTCGAGGGAAACAACTTTCCAATGAGTCTGAGTTAAACCAAAACCTGTTCAGATCACATGGAACTAAAGATTTTGAGAAAAAAAAGACTGATGATGGATATCAGTCAGAAAATCATCCAGTTGAAAAGCAGGAATAAACCAAAGCTCCAGACGTTGTGTCTCAGTGCCAGCCTGCATGGTGAACTTGTCTACGTGAAGGTAGTTCTACCTGTACTGAGCTGGGCTGAGCTGTAGCATACCATGCAACCAAAACAAAGGTAAAACAACCAGATCATACAATCAATCATATTCAATCTTTGACCCTGGCTGACTCTTGGTTCTGGTTGGGTGTTTTCAGCCCACTTTGACTTAATTTGATCTTGTTTGATTGACCTTCTAGGACTCGTTTGACCTTGATCGACCCCGTTTGGTGCTGACTGAACTTGTTTGACTCACTTTACTCTGTTTGAACTTGGTTGACCTTGTTGAACCTGTTTCACGCTGATCTTATTTGACTTTGTTTGACCCTGGCTGACCTTTTGCACTGTTAAGGCCATATATTCACATGTTTAAAAACTGGTTTTTGAAGTGAAGAAGCTGCAGATGTTGCTGCACTGCTGCCTCACGGGGACAGCAGAGTGTTTTGGTATTTCATGGTACAGTCTTTCTCACTGTGAGCTTGTGAAGCCATTTGTTTTTGTTTTGTTTTGTTTTGTTTTTTTTGGGGGGGGGGGGGGGGGTTGACAGTATTACTTTATTTTGCACACTTTCAGTAAGCACTTATGTTTTTACTGATGATGATGATGTTTCTATGCAAATGATGTAACCAAAGTGTTAAAGCACAGTTCCAGTTGGAGCAACTATAGCGGCCTGTTTGTTTATTTTTCAGCAAATTCAGAAATTAAACACAATATTGTTATTAAAATAATTAATTTAACGCCTTATGTGTGTGTTTATTTAATTATTACTCTTAACACACAACAAAAGCAGGAGGACAAAGAAGCTGAAATCCTGCACAAATTTGTGTAGGCCTAGTAGTTCTAGGTATTTTTCGCCCAAAATAAAAAGCTCAGTAATTCTAGTGTTACTGCTTTCTACAGCAATATGTTATTTTTGTCAATATATTTCTCCTCATTTTAAACATATTTTCAACAATTTTTAGAAATCTTTATTTTTTATGTGAAGCGCCTCATGATTTTTATGTCAAGAGGCGCTATGCAAAAGATCGTTTTCCTTCTTTCTTCAGTATGTTTTAATTTTAAAAAAATCATCCTGTTTTAAGGGGAATAAACCAGTATGGTTATACATTTCTTTGTGTTTATACAGGTTTTATTTTTGATTGTATTATATTCATTGTAAATGTTCGACCAACACAACCTCAGTTACCCGCACAGATAACCAAGTTCTATAGCCACAGGATATAAATAGCACGCTGACAAGGAAAACACCTGATTGTTACTTATGGGTCCACCCTCCGTTTTGTCTAACAGGACTCACCTGCCCATATACATTTCTCAAATATCTTATTAGTTAAATTTAACCAGGTGAAAGCTCACTGAGAGATCATATCTCATTTCCAAGATAGATTAATAAAATCAAATGGTTTGTGACATCCAAGTTTAATCCACTTCAGATACTTAAAAGTAGAAACTGTGACAGACAGGGACGTGTCCAGGGAGTGGCCTGGGGTAGCACATGCCACCCTTAGAATCTGATTGGCCACCCCAGGTGCCACCCCACTAAGTTCCAGTTTAAATTGACTTTACATTGTCAACACAAGGCTCGGGTTGTAAACTCCAAAACAGTGTGTGGTTGCATGCACCTTTCACCTTGTTTTCTAGCCCGGCATGTAGTATTAATATTATTTAACATTTTTTCATATTCACATACATAATATTTAGAGTCCCACTCAACTCCAGTTGGTGGCAGTAATGCAACAAGAAGTGACTTGCTAACCACCACAAAAGTAGAAGATGAAAAAAATGGTGATTGTGCAATGTGAAACTCAAAAATTCACTAGAAAGTAAATAAATAAATAAATATAAGCATCGGTGCCACCCATGAATAAACCACATGGGCCACCCCATTTTAAAAGTCCTGGACACAGCTCTGGTGGCAGATGAGAATTACCATAAGATACATAAAGGAAAACTATCTGAGTTTACTAAAACTGTAACAAACTGGATTTAAAACAAGATGTTGCCCATTAAGAGTTGAGATGTTAGGAGGAAATAATGCTTTGCTCTAATAAATCTCTATGGTTCTAATCCAGACCACCTCTCAACATCATGTCCATTTTAGGAATGTTACTGCAGTCAGGGCAAATGGCTTTAGTCTGAGAGGTCATGTGTTATCAGCTACATCTAAACAAGAAGGAACCAGTCATCAAAAAACTGTCTGTAAATCTTTAATGGTTTAAATTTAGCCGCTTGTATTTCGTACCTTTAACCTCTAGCAGGCTGTGAAAATGCTCTTATTTCATCAGTCCAACTCATCTTGCACGCAGTTTCTCTTTGGGCCATCTAAGTCGTCGTGCAGGGAACAGCCAGGATCGGCACTATTTTTAATCCGAGTCACCGAGCGGGTTCTGCACAGAGGCGCGTGCACCGTCCATGAGGACCATAGCTGATAGGAACGCGACCGAGGTGTTTGATGCTGCAACAATGTACGTTAATGTGTCATCTGACGCCACTTTCCCCTTTTAACACTAAACTCCTCTTCGTCACTTCTGACCGGCTAACGTGCTGGACAGCAGGAGGAGCAGACCCATTGGCCACAAACTCCGCCTATCTACGTGACCAGAGGACTTCTGGCTGTCTTGTCTTTTTTTTCAGTTTTTCTTATTTCTGATTGGATGAGAGAATGAGCGGCCAGTCGCTCACAGCTCTGATTGGCTGTTATCTCTCCTAGGCTGTGACTCTCTGAGCAGCTGATGGGGGGGCGTGCCGAGGTCTCCGCACTAGCAGCGTCTCCTCTACGCGGTGAAATGGCTGGAAAACACGAGAAGAGCGGAGAAAAGTGAAAAAGTTCCGTGGTGCAGCCGCTCCGTGACGGTGTAACAAGGAACCTACCGCAAACTACCGAGCGGAACTTCATGAACCGCAGCAGGTGAGACGCAGGCGAAAATGTATCTGCGCCACAGCAGCTGATGGCTGACCTGGAAACGGACTTCCTGTCACCCGTTGGAGTCTTGCCAGACCAGTTTCACCGTCTCTAGTGCAACTTGTTATTGCGTTTTCTGACGTGAGCCAGTCTAATGCGCTAATGTTGACCTAATCTCGAACCTGTCCTGGAGATCCGTGAGTTTCAAACTGCGCCGCATCGTGTTTCTGTTATCGGACGTGTTCAATCAGTCATCTGGTCACTGTTTCTAATCAGCGTGGATCGTTGCAGATGTGCTTCCCAGAGATCGGATTATTCGAACTTCATTTTATTTATTTAGATGTTTAAATTGTTTTCAGCTAGTAGTCTTTGTGTTTACATTCTTATCGCTTTTTTCCAGGTTTTCCCGTGTGTGTGTGTGTGTGTGTGTGTGTGTGTGTGTGTGTGTGTGTGTGTGTGTGTGTGTGTGTGTGTGTGTGTGTGTGTGTGTGTGTGTGTGTGTGTGTTTATCCATAGACTGTACATACGGTTTTATCACATGGTGGCATGGTTACCATGGTAATAGTAAAAATAAAGTGATGATATTAATTCAAGGGGGGTGGGGGATGAAACCTGTCATAGATCTAACCAAAGAAGTTGGTTTGAACATTTGGGATCAGTCAGAGATCAGCCTGGGATTTTACTGATTGGTTAGAGATTAATCCAAGATTAGATTATGTTGAGTAGAAAGTTGGACAAAAGTTAGCCCAACATCAGCCAAAGATTTGCCCTACAACATCATCATCAAGGATAGCCCTATGTTTATGTTTATGTATTTAGCAGACGCTTTTGTCCAAAGCGACTTACAAGTGTTTAAGGTTACCACATGATTCAGCCTGATATTTAATGGTTATTAATCTGAGGGATACCATTGAATTAGAACAACATTAACCTGAGATTAACCCAAGATTAGCCTGATGTTAGCTCAGTATATACTTTGATGCCTAGCTACCTTTTTTTCTTCCATCTTGTGTTTTGTGTTGTCAAAAACACAATTAGAGTTACACCTAAAGTTTAATGGTATTCACATACAGTGAAAGTAAAGGAAATCTCATTTCTTACAATAGCTAAAGGTAAACACAAGCCACACCTGCTCTGTGGCGGTGGTGTTAGACCAGATATAAGCAGAGAAAAGCTCCAGTGACAAGTGTTACAGGTGTCATAGAACACAAAAATAAAGCAGTGCTAGGGCCCAATGAAATTTGTCGTGTTTATTATTCCCAAAATCTACTTTTTTGCTTTTATTTTTTAGAATTCCACATTTTCATTCTAACCTTATTTATAAACCTAAACAACGCAAGTGAATGGGGAAAATGGTAAACAATAAATTCCTGCAGAATTCACAATTTAATGACTTTAATTTAACTTTCACAGATATGACAAAGTGATGTGGTTCTGCAGAACACTGGACGGTCTTGAAATGTGTCTACTCATCTATTTTTAAAGCACAAAATACATTATCGTTTTTGTGCAAAACGTCTAGTCATTGTCATGGAACTGCAAACGCAAGAAGTCGATGATGACAGAGCAACCAGTGGTAGAGAATACGTCTCTACCAAGTCTGGAGTTCATTAAAGTTCACATACAGGTGAAACTTGCAAGCACTGGCACCCCCTTGTTTGCAGTGACAACAAAGATTTTCAGGATTTTTGCCGAGAACGTCTGTTATGTTTTGCATCATAGTGTTCAGAACACAATATCTGATGCAGCAAAACGTGGTGGGGTAAAATCATGCTAGCTGGAGCCAGTCGTGCCTGTTTAAATAGGGTGATGGTGGCAACGGAGTAAACTGGAGTGTTGCAGGTTCAAGCCCCATCTGCCGAGTCCTTGGACAAGACCTTGTAACTCTCATTGCCTGCGCGTGGCAGTTGAAGGAACCGATGGTCTCTGTGTTCACCAGCCTTGCTTCTTGTCAGTGTGCCCCAGGGTTGCTATGGCTACAATGTAGCTTATCACTATCAGTGTGAGAACAACTGAATAACTGGTTGTGTTGTAATGCGCCTTGAGGGGTTTCAGAACCCACTGTATCAAATACATGCCATATGCCATAAAATGTCAGTGGTTTGCAGACCTACCTCTCTCCTGTTGACTTGCTTGTCCATCCCTGACGTGAATATAATTTCCATTTTGTTTATTAAATTCCACAGTTTTGTCCACAATCTCCATATTGTGGAAATCATGGGTCTCTTTATGGCTTCTTGGGATGATGACAAGTTAACTTGAAATAATTTTCCCATTTATTGAGATTTTTTAAACCTCCACATAATCAGGTGTGTGTTTATTTTCATATCCGAACGTTTCAGTTGACCAGTTTTTTTTAATTCTGTGGCTCCGCCCTCTTCATTCTCTTTTGAGCTTGCCTTTAAATCCCAGGGTTTCTGTGTTCTAGATTAATAACACACTTGTCTCTACCCAGGCTCTCACGCAAATCATGCCCGTCGACATGGCCATCAGGATCTGCCTCGCCAGCTCCCCACCACTGCACTCCTTCCTCAGTAACCATGACAACCATCGTTACATGCCAGCTGCTATGCCGACACGGTGCCAACCACTGCGACCCTGTCTTTCCCCAGAAAGCTGCAGCCCCGTTGACATGGCAACCACGTCTTCCTCAGGAACAATCACGGAAAGCTGCGTCCAGGTTAGGAAGAGGAGGAGCCAGAAAAAGAGGGTGGTGTTTGCAGACTCTCAAGGTCTAGTACTCACAACAGTTCACGTTTTCACCGAGCCCGAGGACGACCGGCTGGCTGAGCTGCAGTTCCAACTGACTGAGATGGAGGGTGCCACTGAAGGATTGCACCTGGAAGACCTTAAAGGTGACGGATCTGAAGAAGAGCCCAACGGCGACATTACGATGGTTTATCAATTAATAATTAAGAATGGCAAATAAAGCTAAATGAATCCAAAAGGGTTCAAATGAAGGCAACTGGACTTCTTTGGTTTCTTAGACGTTTCGCTTCTTGGATGAGAAGCTAAACGTCTTCAAGAAACCAAAGTCCAGTTGTGAACCCTTTTAGATTACCATGACCTGGATGACTGAGAACCTTCACCAGCATAAATCTAAAACAATTATTTTTTTTATTTTATTTGCTTTATTTGTTCATGTTTATCCAGCCAGGCTAAAAACCCAAACAACTGTTGGTTCAGACAGTTAGGGTTTGAAAAGAGCTCATAAATATACTTAATCCATAAAAGTCTGGATAAAAGGAAGAGTCAGTGAATTACTTTTACATGTCTGCAGTAATTTGGAATAGCAATTGGAAATAAATTAATAATTGGTCCAGGAACCTTTATTTAGGTCATAAAAAAAATAGAGCCTTACCTGCCTGGTGGTTCTAGGTAAACCCTTTCAGATACCCTGCTGTATTTTAATCCGCGGTTTACCCTCTATGCTTCTAGATTCGACAGATTTTGGTTTGGGTCTGGTCTTGGACTTTACTCCACCAGCTGCAGACTATCTTGAACTGAGGAACCGGCTTAAAGCCCAACATGTTTGCCTGGAGACCTGCTCTGTGCAGGACCACCTTCTTTCTGGCACCATCCAGGTTGAAAACGTCTGTTTTGAGAAGTCTGTCTTGGTCCGGATCACCTTTGACTCGTGGAACTTCTTCCAGGATGTTGATTGCCGATACCTGAACAACGTCTATGGCTGCCCCGATACCGACACCTTTGCCTTCTCCGTCTCTGTGCCACAGAACCTGGACTCCTCCAGCAGAGTGGAGTTCTGCATCCGGTACCAGACACATAACCAGACCTTCTGGGATAACAACCTGGGCAATAACTACGGGCTGACAACTGTGGATCCTAATGGCTGTCCGAGCTGGGTCTCTAAGAGGAGTGCTAGACTAGAGATCCAGAGGGGCAACAATGGAGAGAAAGTGGACGAGATGGATTATGACCCGTTAGGAAGTCCCAGGACATTAGTTGGTGTCTTCCCTAAGTGGCAGAGCTGGGGTCGGGTTGAAACCAGTGCCCCCTACTGGTGAGAGCAGCACAGCTTTTAAAGTTGGACTTTCTGGATGTTGGAGATTCACCGAAGCTTAACTCAAGCAGCTACGTTATCCTGTAGGTCCAAAGCGCCACGTTGACTTGGTCACTTTACCTCCTGAAACTCCTGCTGGGGTAGAGATGGATTTGGAGACTTCTGGTGCTATCTGCAACAGGTCCGAAACCAGAGCTAGATTGGTTCCTTCGTAACTGAATCTTAATATGCAACAATCAGTCCTTTTTCAGAGGAACTACAGCAGAACCAGCACAGTTTTCAGAGGAGGGAGAACGTTGCAGGGATTCCTCAGTAGAACCTCATGAGAAGATCACCTTTGAACTATGCAGCAGATCAGTGAAGCATTTAACTTTAACATAATTCCAGGACCTAGAAGTCTCCCAGAGCCCGATGAGCCTCCGAGCTTGGACATAAAGTCCAGGTTCTAACGCTGATCTGGCTTCAGACCTCCAAACACCTCCTTAGGACCTGCAACTCTATTTTAAAATGGTCTCTAAAGGTTTAACAGCACATTCCACTCTTCAGTCATTTCAGTGGATTTCTGATCCTCAGAGCACCCGGAATCACCAAAACCTCTGGTCCAAGACGATTTACGGATTCAGACATCAGATGTTTGGATGAACTTTTTCCATTTACATGTTCAGTTCTCCCTGTCCTAAACCAGTTACATATTTGTGTTCACAAACATCATGGCCAGAACACGATCTTTTCTGAGTCCAGATGTTTTTTGGAGCCATTAGTCCTCCTTTTTCCTCCTTTTTAAATCATTCCTATAAACCAGTGTGGATGATTTCCTGCCATGGATGGAGTCAGCGGGTTGGTGAAACCATAATTTTAAAGTGTTCTGCTGATGGACTAAATGTTCTAGAATACAAGCTTTGGCGTTTTAGGGGTTTCTACACAAAGACTTTTTGGACTCGTGTTGGTGTTCAGCTGGTGCCGATGGGTACGGGTCGTGGTCCTGTTGGATTTTAGATAGTCGTAGACAGAAAGTTTTGCACACTGATCCAAAGTAATGGATCAAAACCAGCTGGGTTGACACCTGTAAAGCAATCCAGTGAATGTGTTTAATGGTTTTAATGGTGAAATTTTAATGCTTGAATGTCTCAGGTGTGTGTTTATTCACACTGCCTTGTCAGGAGTTCTGGTTACGTTCGTTTTGATTGGTCCCGTTGGACCTGGACTGAGTGTAACCAGTAAGTTATGTTGGACTGAATGTTCTTCTGCACAGGTGTTTGTTTGGACTCCGTATCAGCCGCTGTAAGTCAGAGTCAGCTGCTGTGTTGGCACTTTAGTAGTCTTTGGTCATGTGACTGCAGCCTCAGCATTCAACAAAGATGAAAACATTTAGCAGACAGGCCAGTTTGATGATGATGGTTTTGAGGGATCTGACTCATCTTCATTCCAGTCTCTACGTGTTTAGTGTTTATTTCTGTCCATCTGTGTTGCAGCTGTTTTTGAATTCCTTAATAATTTAATTAATTACTCTGTTTCAAGCTTCTGACAATAAACCCCCTGCTGCACCAGCAAGTTTGTTGTTGGTGCTAAGTTTGAGGACTAGGAACTCAATTATTAGCTTACGTCACCTTCTGAGATTTGTTAGTCACACTCGTGTGCACGTCTCACATCAGAAAGCAATTCTTCATCACCCTGTGTTGTCATGGTAACTGATGTTAATGTTGCATTTCTTGCTAGCTCTTGTTAACCAGTTTAAAAGCCTTTCTAAACTACAAACACTGCAGTGCTCGTGTGTGTGTGTGTGTGTGTGTGTGTGTGTGTGTGTGTGTGTGTGTGTGTGTGTGTGTGTGTGTGTGTGTGTGTGTGTGTGTGTGCGTGTGCGTGTGCGTGTGTGTGTGTGTGCGTGTGTGCGCGTGTGTGAAAATGTAAAGTGTTAAACAGAAATGTTATCAGCCTGCTAATATTGCAATATTTGTTGGACTGCTGAAAGCCTTGTGCAGCCTTCAGGTCACAGCTGCTGTAATTTCAAGGTGGCAGGCTCTCCTTATTCCAAAGAAACCTGAATGCAGCACAACATGCACTGATGAAACCCCTAACAGTATCAATGCCCTGAGATGAAAGAGTAAAACAAAGAAATAATGTTGTAGTAGGAATTATATCACATTGTAGCCCCTCCTATAACAGGAAGTGTTGTAAACAAGAGGGCTGATTGCTCCTTTTGTGTTTATCCTCTTAAAGTAAAAGTTTAATACATTTAATAAAGGTTAATATAGTTTACACCTTTTGTTTCTTGTTTTATTTTTATCAAAGAGTTTGTTTTTTCAGTGTTTAGCAGCCGGAAGCAGTAAAAAACTGCACTGGTGCACAGAAGTTGTCGTTTTCCAACCTTCATCAGTCTGTCTGGTGTTTTTCTGTCACTTTGGTGTGCTAGTCTGAGCTCTCATCTGAAACAGAGATTAAAGGTCAGCGGAGTTCAGCTGCTCTGACTTCATCCCACCAGATTAAATCGACCAGCAGCTCATCCTGTTTCCATTTACAGATTAAATTTACGTAACGTCAAAGAGCAGCAACATGTCTGCGTTGCACAGCTCCACCAGTGGACACACGCCTTTTTTTTCTATGGCTGTTTACATAAGACTTTCTGCTCAGTGACAGGATCGTGAACCACCTCTGGTGCTCCAGCTGACCGATGGATGTTACATTAACAAACTCGGTGGCTTGTTGGTGTGTTTTGTTGTATTCATCTAATGTTTTGCTCATGTTGATCTGTGGACTGCATCAAGAAACATTTATTCTTTTTTATTATGTTTAGCAGACTGGAGAGTTATGTTTAGTTTTATTCTGGTATGTTTTTTCTATAAATATTTTATTTCTATTTTATGTTTAATGTTTGAATAAAAATCAAATCAAGAGGGATGCCTCTTGATGAAGAGCACCGACCGAACCATTAACTGATCAGAATATTGATCAGCTGATCAGTGATGACATGACCTTGAGGGTAGCAAAGAGACATTGCTGCAGCTCAATTTGCAATTTGTCATAGTTCCACTCATCAGTCTGCACTGATCAGGTCGATTAGTGACTTCCATCAGGACTGCAGTCACAGCAGGTTGAAATGTCAGCAAACCGTTTTAATCTCTCCATGCTCATATTTCTACAAGATCTCTTGGTCATGCAGAACAATCAAAACTGAGGATGATTTATAATCATCCATTTCAGAGTGAAGGGTCCCTCAGATCACCTCACTCATCTTCTCAAACTTTTAGGAAGTCCTATAAAATTCTGGAATCTATGTTATTTCTACATGTTTGTAAAGTGAATCCTGGTTCTCGAGTATCTAAAATATTTTTTGAAAACTCTTTGTGATAAATTTCTGTCTGAAAACAGTGGAAATCCCAACAAAAACATTAAGTTATGCATAAAACTACTGTTCCCTTTCAGTCGATTTACTCGGTACAACAGCTATAGTATGGGATATCATGCCCTCACGTGGTCTGACTGAAGACCCCTTTAATCACGCATTTAGGTGTGGGTGCAGGGTCCATCTTCTTATAAATACCCCTACTCACACATCATGCTCCAGTTCGATGACCACTCTTCACCGAGCCCAGCTGCATGGCGGGGCAACAAAGGTGTTGTACCTCGTTCCTCTCCTTCAGGGAACAGCAGTTCTATGCATAACTTAACGTTCCCTTTCAGTCGATTCACTCGGTACAACACATAGTATGGGACATATATACACACCCCGCAGAGCAGTCATCAGAAAATCAGGCCCAAAAGGCGATGCTTTCGTGTGGGCCTTGTGATCCAGCAGATAAAAACAGTGAGCCAGCGACAGTGCAGTCACATCCAAACGGTAAAACTGAGTAAAAGTGTGCATTGAAGACCAACTGGCAGCAGCACAGATGTCGCCCACCGGGACTCCTCTGAAAAGGGCCCAGGATGCAGCTATTCCTCTGATCGAATGAGCTCTCACTTCCTGTCTAAGGTAAATGGAGACCCTTGCTGACAAGCAAGAGAAATGGCCTCCATCACCCAATGGGAGAGTCTTTGTCTGGACAGATCTGGGGTCTCATTTATCAAGCTTGCTTACGCACAAAACAGGATCGGAAAACTGCGTAAGCAACTTTTCACGCAAACTTTGGGATTTATGAAAGAAAACTTAGCGGGAAAATGTGCGCAACTTTTAAGTTGACTAAGGACCTGGCTTACGCACATTTTGGACATGGAGAGCACCTGCAGTGCTGCTGCTGAGAAGGATACAATTATGAAATCCTGCAGCATTGTCACTTGTACTGCTTCGTTTTCACACAGAACAAGATCCCCACATGCACACACACACGTGCATACACACACACACCGCCTGAAGCACAGAATACGGAATGCAGAATATCAGCAGGGGGACAGATTGAAACAGAATGTCATGCATCTGTGACAATGTGGGTCCTGTCACTGTGACCCGATAGATCATGGGCCCTGGCTACTTGTACAGGGAAGATCTCCGTTTGGCTGACTGGTTAGTGTGCATGACTTTCACCCGAAAGTCTGGGGATCAAATTGCGATTGGACCTTTTTTTTTTTTTATATCCGCCACAGATCTCTCTGAAGAAGTCACAACATTGACGGCTTCAGCAACGCTGTGTCACTCCGTGGATTTTCTCTCATTTGTTTTGCAAAAGCACTTCCTTTCATTTCTCCACCTCAACCACAGGTACCTGAATTTCTGCTTCTGTTAAATTGCGCTTCCTTGATCTGCCTTGATCTACGGTCGTCATGTCATTGGCGGAGCGCTGCAACAGCCGTCTTATGTATATGCATGAGATCCACAAGGCACTTTGCATTGACTATTTATGGCAGTAAGTGGGCGTGGTGAGGGCGGGATGTGACTAAAATGCAGCTGAGAAACATTCTCGTTAGTCTCCGATTTATGAAGCGGAGATTGCGTGCAGCTGTGCGTACTCCATGTTTGGGTGTTGTCTTTGGTTGCAAACAGATCTACAGTTGCTCTCCTGAATCGTTGCCAGATTTGGGTCACCACTAGTGGGTGCAGTCTCCATTCTCTCACCATTGGGCTGCCCCTGGACAGCAGGTCTGCTCCCAGATTCTGGTGCCCTGGCACATGAGTCGCTCCGATAGACAGAAGCCAAACTGCACCATTGGAGGAGTTTGTGAGACATGTTTAACAGGGGAAGCGAGTGGGCCCGCCTGTCTATTTATATATGAAACCACTGCGGTGTTGTCTGATTGTGTCAGAACATGTTGGTTGTTCAGGATCCCCTGAAAATGTCTCAGAGCTAGCAAAACTGCTAGTAGTTCCAAGCAGTTGATGTGGAGCCTGGACTGGGTCAGAGACCAGACCCCTCTCACCGCTATGCTGTCGCAAATGGCATCCCATCCTTTCAGAGAGGCATCTGTGGACACCAACTTGCGGAAGGATACTGCCTATTGGCGAACCTCTGTACAAGAGACCAGGTTCCCTCCATGGGCAAAGGCCTAACATGTACTTAGCTGTTATTGTTTGCTTTCTGTGCAGGTGAAGGGTTGTGCACAGCCGGTGAGCGCGGGTCCAGCGTTGAAACGCATGCGTGATGAGCAGTCCGAGTGGCACCACTGAAATCATGGAAGCCATGATGCCCAGAAGCCGCACTATCATCCAGAAGTGCAGTTTGCATCCCAACTGAAACAATCCATTCCGACTAAGCTGCTCCACGCTATTGCTCCTACAGTAGCCGCAGCAGTCACACATGTGATCAACGCTTCACTGACATCCGGTACATTTCTCACCTCTCTCAAGCATGCTCAGGTTAAACCGCTGCTAAAAAACCATCTCTTCCTCCAAATCACGTGGAGAACTACCGACCTATCTCCTCCCTTTTCTGTCCGAAATCATTGAAAGGGTGGCTTTCAAGCAGATCACAGAATACCTCTCACAAAACTGTCTGCTTGACCCTTACCAATCTGGGTTCAAAAAGGGCCACTCCACTGAAACTGCTCTGTTAGCAGTGACGGAATCCTTAAAAGAAGCTAGAGCGACAGGCAAATCCTCAGTGCTTATCCTGCTCGACTTATCGGCTGCATTTGGCACTGTCAACCATGGCTTCCTTTTGTCCACACTCTAGCATGGGCATCACAGAGAAAACACATGGCTGGTTTGGATCGTACCTCACAGGACGATCATTCAGTGTATCTTGGCTTGGACAATCCTCTACTGTGCACCATCTTGCCACAGGAGTCCCCCAAGGCTCTGTACTAGGACCTCTTCTCTTAGCCATATACACCACCTCACTGGGTGATATCATTCGATCACATGGCTTCTCCTACCACTGCTATACAGACGACACCCAGCTCTATCTGTCATTTCCACCAGACGACCACACTGTCTCTGCACGAATATCGAACTGTCTCTCTGACATATCAAAATGGATGGAATCCCACCATCTCCAACTCAACCTCTCTAAAACTGATCTACTCGTCATCCCAGAAAAACCATCCATACAGCACAATATCTCAATCCAAAATGACTTCCTATCTCTGGCTCCTTCAAAGGCAGTTTGAAATCTGGGTGTTGTGATTGATGAACACCTGAACTTTAAAGATCATGTTGCCTCGTTTGCTCGTTCATGCCGCTTTGCGCTGTATAACATACGAAAGATCAGACCATGCCTAACACAACATACCTGGAGGTTTTCTGGGCCGGAGAAGCGGGCCATTCCACATCCAATTTTTCGGCAGCACGGCAGAAAAGGGGAATAAACGAGGGGTCGACCTGGGTCACCGGAGAGGCGGCAGCAGCACACTGAGCTGCGGAGAAATCATCATCTCCAGATATACTCCGGTCATCTGTGTGGATGGTCGGAACGTTGTCGTCCTCATCCTCTGTTGGACTCATGTGTGGAGGGACCAGGGAATTCTGAGTCTCGGGTAGCCCTTCCATGAAGTCCATTTGGTCCACCCAGCTGGAAGCGGGGACTGTGACCAGGCAGCCGTCGTCGTCGGACTCGGACAAAGCCGGGTCTCTCAACTCAGAGAGCATAGGATCCTGTTTGGAGGCGGCAGCCTCCCCCAGGATCTTGAGAACAAACTTGACCCTGTGTTCCAGCGTTGAGCGCTTAAGCTGGCTGCAGAACGAGAATACTTCCGGCTCTGTCAACGCTCTCCTGGCGTGGACAATACCGAGACAAAATGGGCAAGCTTCATGTAAATCCTTGTCATGAAGCCACATCCCTGTGGGCAGGCTTCTGCTTCTTTGGGTCAGACCTGGTGCTCATTCCGGATCACGAGGGCCAACAGTGTAGGTGTTAGCGAGGTTTAACGGTGCTAGCGCTCAGCGTGTAGGCACACTTACCAACAGGCAGCAGTCTAGTTCGACACGAACAGTTAAGCTAGCTCCAAAAGCATAGTGAAGAAGAGTGCTAACTAGCGTCAGCTAGCTAGCACTGGTTGAGTGGGAGGTGTTCCAGTTAGGTGAAGGGAGTAAGAACTGGAGCATGATGTGTGAGTAGGGGTATTTATAAGCAGATGGACCCTGCCCCCTACGTCACACGTCATGCGACCTAAAGACGTGATTGAAGGTGTCTTCAGTCAGACCACGCGAGGGCATGATATCCCATACGATATGTGTTGTACACAGAGTGAATCGACTGAAAGGCAACCTGATAGGCATCATTGTGGATTTAGACTGAAGTCGTTCTCAAAGACTAGTTTTCATTAATAACCATCATTTTCATCTCTGTGTGGTTTGTCATTTGATATTGCACTTATCCGTTCAAATAAAAAAATACACAGTTGCTGCATAAGAGAGACAGAGAAAGACCAGCTGACACAACATCACGTGGCTGTGTGTTGATGTAATGCTGACATCACGTGGCTGTGTGTTGATGTAATGCTGACTGACAGGTGTTCAGACCACTCACATTGTTGTAAACATCCTCTGGTTGTATTCTGACTTCTGCTTATTTTTATTCCACACTGAAGCCAGAGTCGTGTCAGATAGAACAGCTGGATTTATCAGCAGACACTGATGTGATGAATATTTTGAATCAGTTACACATGGCAGAAACATGGCAGAAATCTTACTCGAGATGGTAAATTACCTGTATTTGATATAGCACCTTCTAGAGTCCTGGAACCCCCAAGACTCTTTACATCACAGTCAGTCCTTCACCCATTCACACACACATTCACACCCTGGTGGTGATGAGCTACATTGTAACAGCTGCCACGGGGCACACTGACAGAGGTAAGTCTGCCATACACAGACGCCACCGGTCCCTCCGACCACCACCAGCAGGCAAGGGGGGTTACCCCGGTAAGTGTTTTGTTCAAGGACACAACAACAGTGAGACTGAGCATCGAAACTGCAACTTTCTGATTAAGCGGCGAGCACTTAACTCCTGTACCACTGGCGCCGCAGGAGAACTTTACAGCCTACCAGGTGGAAGCACAAGCACCCTGAAGCAAACCCACTGGCCCTAGAGCACTGCGGCCATTGTGGGATTCTCCAGAATTCAAAGATGGCCGCTCCTGTGTATCGTCCTAATGAATCACTCATACTGACCGTTTCACAGAGGTGTGACCAAGTCACTGCTTTGCAAGTCACACGTTTTTCCAGTCAAGTCTCAAGTCCAAGTCGAGTCCAAAGTCAGTGATGTGGAAGTCCAAGTCAAGTCCAAGTCCTTAACTTTGAAATTTCAAGTCATCTGTCAAACTTCAATTTAACGACAATGATAATAAATTGCAGAAATAAAGCTTCTTAAAGCTTAAGTTGTTTGCTCAAACAAGCAGAAAGTGCAACTGAAACAGATTACAAAGTGCTGCTGCATTTAGCAGTACAAGATCAAACCCAGAACCAAGAATGATTTACGATTTTTGTTCATGTCGCGCCACTTTTGTGCTAAATTATAAAATACGCTCAAGTCAAGTAAGGTGTCTTACCAAGAACACAACAGCAGCAGTCTCTGGCAGGAGCTGGGATCAAACCTACAGCCTTCCAATTACTGAACAACCTGCTCTGCCTCCTGAGCTACTGCTGTTCTGGGGTGCCTCTGGCACCTCCAGGGCAGCCAGTGTCTGGAGTGAACTAACACACAAATTGAAACAAAGCAAGGGATTTTCGGAAGAGCCTCAATTTTCTGAGCTCGCTTCATGGAACAGACATCAGTTTTTTCTGTTTAGTCTGGTTTAGGCTTTGTAATTCTTGATTTACCTACCTTGATTCTGCAGCACGTTTGTTCCAGTACATTTAGTCATCTCAGCTCTCACCACTTTTTGCTTTAATCAGAATCAGGAGCTCCAGTCTCTGTTGTGCTGTCCCAGTCCAGTCCTGGATCAGCGGCAGACCAGGGCCCACCTGGTATTTTGTCTCTACAGGCATTTATTGAACCAAAATAAAAACATTTGACATGCAGTGGATGTGTGGAAGGTTAAGTTTCATAAATAACTTACCAAAAACTCAATTTAATTAGAATGACTCAGTTCAAAAAACTCTAAATCCAGACCATACTTGGCTCCAACAGTAGTAATGTGTAACCAGGTATCCTTCATCCATCCGGTTCTACTAACAGCTGGGTCTGTTGGTCTTTTCTGACCCCAGAAAACCTCTGCAGCACTAAAACTCCAACAGCATCACCTTTGTGTCAAAGACATATGTTTCACAGTTTCTATTTACCCAAACTAATATTATGTACAAATCAGACAGGTCACTCCGTTTTTTTTTTTTTTTTTTTTCAATTTATTCATGCAACTACAAGCTTGAGCCACCACAGAAACAACTACACCAGATGCACTGTTGCCATAGTAACCCTCCTTAAACACAGTTTAATTACCGAACACACACTTCACATTTTTCTTTCTGCTCTAGTGCTACTGTGAGGACAGAGACAACCGGCAACCATTCAGCAGCCGTGTTGGAAGCCAAGAGTGGAATTATTCTGTGGATGTGTCACTCATGTTGGACTGTAACTTCTCACATCCTTCACGTTGTCTTCGCCATCTTGATTTGATTCCATAGGAACATTTGGACACCAACATGGCTGCTGTGTGCTGCATGAACAGGGAAGCCAACACCTACGCTACTTGTAGTACTGTATAGAAAAGTGGGCATGGTTACGGTAGCCAGACAAAAAGATGGCTGATGCCTCCAGTGGGCACCAGTGCCTTTATAATATTTAAGTTTTGTTATTGTTGGCTTCACCTGTAAAAGAAGGCAGCTCCGCCCATCGTTTCTATACAGTCAGGGGTTATGATTGCATCACAACATCATCCTGATGAAGACCTCAGTCTGAATAAACGTCAGCCTTTTCTGATCACATCTGTGGAAAAAGGACTTAAAATTCACATCTCTGTCTTACCTCCCCTCAACAATGGGAAGGGACTGTTGGAGGGTTAATGTGGATGGAGCTATCAGTCTGCTCTGTAACACGTAGACAAGAGCATGACTGAAACGACCTGAGGTCATCAGTAGGAACCGGTGCTGGGAGTAAACATAACCGACAATCCTAACACTTACATTGTCACATTCAAGATATAAAAAGTGTTATAAATACAGGACGAAGATGAATTCTTAAAAAACATATAAATAAAAATAAAAAAAAAACACGTGACTGCAGCTGTGGCGTGAAAAGCTGCTAGGTCACATGATGTCGATGACTCTAAATGACAGGATGGAATGATGTTCTGAGTTCAGACAGGATTGCTACTGGTAGGCTACCGTTGTGTTAATTAGCACCATCAATATCTAGGAGATGAAGTTAACCTGTTATTAAGGACAAGCAGGATGGTTTAAGGGATCAAAGGGGAAGAACTTTCATCGTCAGCTGTAATAAGACAGCTGCAAACGGAGCAACGTTATTGGTTGTGATTGAACTCATTTACATGCATGCTTCAGCTGACACGACTGATGAGTGTGAACTATTTAGAAGATGTGACAGGAAATGAGTCACCAGCTGTAACAGGATGGAATCACTTTTAACTGAAGTGGGAGGGGTTTAGTTGTCAAATGGTGGTAACAACGACTATTATTACGTAATGAAGTGGTGGTGTAGAAGGGTGAGTGAGTTTAATAAAAGCAGAAGATGTTCTATGTGAAGAAATAAATATGTCAACAGAGCTAAGCATTACTGCTCACTATCGTTTTCTAACTTTTTTTATTTAGCTTGACCTTTTTTTTGTTTGAGTTTTTTCCATTTGGAATTGGATGAACGACATTCCACCCTGAAGTATACTCGTTTTAAAGGAGACATATCATGCTTTTAAGTTCTTCCGTTAACTAAATCATTCAGTTGGGGTCCAAATATAACGGAAGAGCCATTCTTGGGTCTGATTTCCTAATACCTGTTGCTCTACAGACCCCTCCTTCACCCTTATTCTGAGCAGAGTGTGAAAATGAGCCATTTTGGTACTGTCTCTTTAAATCTGAAGAGCTGCAAACCTACCCCCCTCCACAGTTTCGTAGTTTTATAGAGAAAGAAACATATTTGCATTTTTAAAACATGTGGGGAGATTTGTCCACCCAGCTGTGCTCCGGGACTGCCAACTCTCGTGCGTTAGGAGTGAGGCACACGCAAGTGAGGGGCAGTTCAGAGAGGCATGCGGATCAAATGACCATACATTTAGCTAAACTTTATTCTAGAACTTCAAATTATCACCTGAAGTAACTAGTTTGATTATTTTTGCACACCAGGAGACTTAGAATACAAAACACATTGTATTTAAAGACTAAAAAAAGTGGATTTTTCATGATATGTCTCCTTTAAGATGATATTAAAATTGACAGGGTACCTTTTTTTCTATTTGTTTTTTATACTATAAGTTATACTGATTCTGGGTTACGCCAAGCAGACACTTGACAATTTATAAAACCTGTGGACCTCAGATTCTCTACAAAAACAGGTTTTATAAACCAAGACATCCAGGAGATTTGGGTGTATTACTGTTAGCCAATGCTAAAAACTAATCAGTGCTTCTCTTAAAGGCCACTGCAATTCAAAAAGACACAGTTGGATTAGTACGAGTTCTCATGGGCTGTGACTTGAACAGTTTTTTTTTTTGTCATTGAAGTTTTTGTTCCCAATAATCAGCGCGTTTGGTTTTGTTGCACCAAGATCTGCAGAGTGGTCCTGATCCAAACTGGACCATATAACAAAATGTCTAAATAATACTTTGAGCTTTAGCATCACATGGTTTATAGAATTGGTACCTGTGCTGTTGAGCTGTGTTGTTACTGTGCTGTGTGGCAATGTGTTGCAATAAAGGGGTTATTTAGCTGTAGTAATGATGTTTTAGTATTACTGTAGCGGTGCTCAGTCCTATTAAAGGATTTGTGATCGTAGGGTTTGGAACTTGCCTGCTTTGGGGATGAACACCATTATATCTGGACTAAATGCTAACACCGTAGCATTCCAGCATCCCACCCATGGACCAAAAGCCCAATGTGTTCATGAAACCTGGAAATTTAAGGGGTTAAAGAACAAGTGCAGATACTGACTGATAAATTGTGTAGAAAAGGTTTGATTTCAGCTCTGGGACACATTCATTGTTACAGCAGACCTAAATGTGTTGTGTCTATCAGGTTATATCAATAGTTTGGCTCTTGAAGGGCTCCATTAAAATTTTGTTGTGACAGACTATTCAGTACTTTTGTGGTACTAAAAGAATTTCCCATTTTCTCTGTTCTAAGATAAGGATGTAATGTTGGATCGTCCACCAGGAGGTGCCACAATCCTCTGAGTAGAGCGTCGAGGTATGTGGTCATCAATCTGAGCACCTGGTCACAACAAACAGAAGAGTAAAATTTTTCTAATTATTTTCAGTTTAGCTTCGCTGCTTTGTGTTTACCCAGAATGCACTGTACTGGCAACCACCAATAACTGGCCTAACTACTGATCAGAAAACTGGAGATGCAGTACCTGCTAAGGTGAATCCTGACTGGTGAAGGTTTCGAGGACCAGTTACGATTTTAGGACAGGTGGGCCCCCTGGTGGTTGGAGTGGGTGGGACAGATTTAGTCATACTGATGACATCATGAACCGGCCCATCGTAGTTTCCACGGGGAACTCCGCGAGCCTCCGCCATCTGTCACATGAGTGCAAAATTATCAGAGGATTAAGTTATTGATCAGATTAGCAACCAAACATCAACTCAGTTTAACTTCATAGTTGTGGAGACCAAACCAAACATGCTTACTGCAGTTTTCTGGTGGGATCACGCTGTTGGTTAGTTAGTTAAATGCTCACTTAGTTTATATATATATATATATATATATATATATATATATATATATATATATATATATATATATATATATACATACACACACACATATATACATATATATATACATATATATATATATATATATATATATATATATATATATATATATATATATACATATACATATACATATATATACATATACATATATATACATATTCCGTAATCGGAAGGTCGCAGGTTCGAGTCCTGCTCAGTCTGTCGCTGTCGTTGTGTCTTTGGGCAAGACACTTAACCCACGTTGCCTGCTGGTGGTGGTCGGAGGGACTGGTGGTGCCAGTGCTCGGCAGCCTCGCCTCTGTCAGTGCGCCCCAGGGCAGCTGTGGCTACAGTGTAGCTCATCCCCACCAGTGTGTGAATGTGTGTGTGAATGGGTGAATGACTGATTGTGTTGTAAAGCGCCTTGGGGGGTTCTAGGACTCTAGAAGGCGCTATATCAAATACAGGCCATTTACCATATACATATATATACATATATATACATATATATATATATACATATACATACATATATATATATAAATATATATATACATATATATATTTATATATATATGTGTATGTGTATGTGTATGTGTGTATATATATATATATATATATATATACACACTCACACACTCACACACTCACACACACACACACACACACACACACACACACACACACACACACACACACACACACACACACACACACACACACACACACACACACACACACACACACACACACACACACACACACATATAGAACAAAGCAGCGCCGTGCAGTGAACGGAGGAGAGAATCGGTCAAGTGGAGTGAAGGAGGAGCTCAGAGCGGCAGACAGAGCAGGTGGGTGACTTCTAAGCAACACAAATTAATGGTCTAGTTTTTACTCAGAATGAAAGAACATATTTCCTGATGATGATCTCAGTGGTCTGGATTGTTGCTTAGAAGTCATCCACTTGCTCTGTCTGCCGCTCAAGCAGCTAGAAAAGATTATTAGAGTAGGAATTTTCTACATTTTCAACAGCAACATCATTGCGCCATCAAAACATAGAAAGAACTGAGGATATCTAGTGGCAGACACGGCGCAGCTTGAAGAATATCTAGATGAAAAACTCTAAAAATATGAACATTTATTCAGCCATGACTGGAGGAGTATAAAGATATGCATAAAGAGTTTATTCGTGGATGGAAATGACGAAAACGTGGGTTTAGGGGTGGCGAGCGCATGAAGGGGTGGAGAAGAATGAAGGACTAATTTTTGTTAAAAAGTCTCTGAAATACAAAAAAAAAACACAATATAAACACACTATCTTGGATCGATTACATGACAGGATACCACAGAACAGTCCTACACTCTGTTGTCCAGGCGGGGAATTGCTTTGCAACACTCCCCAAGAGACGGAGAAGTCTGAAGGCAAAACTTCTCCGTCTGCGTCTCTCCCTCGCAGAGCTGACACAGAAGCATAAGGCTTAACAGGGACTGGTCTGGATACTCTGAAGTTGCAAGTGTGGTATTCTAGCCACAGGGGGCGGTGGGGTCTGAGTGACTTTTACATGAACCCTGTAAAGACTGCTAGTTATCTCTGGTTGACGGTAAGCTGTTAGTTACCTTGCTACGAGCTTTGATCCTCCTGTAGACAAAGTCAGGAAAAGCCTTTCTTGGGACGAAGCGCCCCGAACCTTCAGTCACACTAAGTTTTCCATCTTCCACGACAACTTGACCGCCACTGATCACCACTGTCGGAACGCCTCGAAATTCCAAACCTTCCAGGATGTTCACTTCCACGGTCTGCACAGAAGAGAGATTTGATTTGATCATGGATGAGTCGTATTTGTCAGATGAGAGCGATTTAAGTGTCTCTTTACCAGGTTGTGAGTTGTTGCAGAAACAGTTTTCATCTCTTTAGGGTTCCAGATGACGATATCTGCGTCAGATCCGACAGCAATCCGTCCTGTTCACACACGGAACTCACATAAGGCTGTTGAAATGTTGATCATCAAAATCTGGACACCAGTTTACTGAAACATCCATTAGAACAATATCAGCGTGTGTTCAAACGGCCAATGTGGTGTCTGTTTCCACAGGCTGCCCTCATGGTGGATTTGGACAGAAGCGGCTTTCTTCTGTCTAGCTCTGGTGTTTTACCTTTTCGTGGGTAAATGTTGAAGAGTTTTGCAGCGTTGGTGCTTGTGACTGCAACAAACTCATTCTCATCCATTTTTCCTGTAGACTGCAGAGAGATGCAAACACAAAACATATAGATCAGGATGTGGCAAAGGAAAAGATATTAGTGGTCAGGAGCAAAAACAGTATAAAGCATCATAAGTACTTCTTACCATCGTCATAAGAATATATTTTAAATGACATCCTCTGAAAAGAAAAATGATTTCTTCCAGGTGAGAATTTGACATTTGGAATCTGGATTCCTCGGATCAGGATATGACTTATAAGTGTATATGTTCGATTGATGGTGTGATACAGAGGACAGCAACTAGCGCTGCTGCAGCTGAAGTCGTGACACATCATACTTCATATTTTCATTTTAACAAAGGGTCGAAAGGAACTGATCTGACTAGCCGACAGCTGGATTGTTGGTGTTTTTCCTTTTTATAGATGCTAACTTGAACTTTCAAAACTAGCATCAGTGCATGCAGCAGCCTCCAAGGTGAAGAGGCATCTGAAGAATAAAGCTACAGCGACTAAATGTGTTGTTTTACTTCTGATCTGATGGAGCTGATGGAGATAAGGGACAAAGGAGGTCTGACGGTGAAGACAGAAAACATGAGTACTACACGAGTATGAGTGGATCAAGGTCAGCTGTTTGAGCAGCACACAGGTGTGCTCATCTTACCACAGCTCTGTCCCAAACCACCGACAGCCTCTCCTCTATGCCGTTGGTTCCCTCTGGGATCAGTGTGAAGTCATCCTTGCCGACAGCTTTCTGAGCTGTTGAGAAACTAGCCTGAGCACTGGAGGTCACTTGCAGGTCACCACTAAAAAAGAAGAATCACCCGTCAGACTCAGCTGCTGCTCCTCAACAACTCAGGAGGGGCAGAGCAGCGAGTACTCACCATGCCAACAGGGAGGTCAGGTACTGGGGTGTAGAGGGGTCCGGGTTGATGGGTGGGCTCATCACAAAGGCCGCTGCCGTAGCCCAGTCTTTGGACCAATATTGAGAGCCATCAGTGGCCAGACTGGCTGTGATTGGTTCTCCGTACACGACTATACCTGAGGATAGGAAGAGAAGGATGTTCAAGTTTAAGGGTCCAGTTACAGTTCTACCCTGAAGGGGGTTTGAGTTAGGAGACCTAGCTGAGGGTCCCCACAGAAAGAAGTCAGAGCTCAGGCATGGTTCTAACATTTAAACAGATAACCCAGGTCCAGACAGCATTAGCAAGGGGCCAGGACTTTAGTCAAGGGTCCAAACAGAATTTTGAACACATACAAACAGTTCACCTCATGAACATCATGGAGGAAGGAGTGACACTTGTATAACAGAGGTCCAACATGTCTCCACAGCCTACATTAGTGTCTACAGGAGTGATTATTCACTAATTTAAACAAATCAGCAGTGTTCATTATCTAAAACATGCAGAAATTCCCAATGCAGTGGTCCGCCAGTCTGAAGTTGCAAGTGAAATATTCTGGCCACAGGGGGCGATAGGAGCTGGATGGTCTTTCATTAACCCTGTGTAGAGGGTCATTTTATCACATACTGGCTCAAGAAAGTGATTTAAAAATATGAAAGAGTTGCAAATGATCCCTTTAAGAGATCCATCTGAATTAAACCGAACACTAAGGAATCACACTTAGTGGTTCTACAGAACCGGTTATGGTGACACGTTGTAGACGTTCATGTAAAACAAGAAAAGTGATCAACTTCTGTTTTAAACATCAGATGTATCCCACCAGGAAGCTGCTAGGTCATAAATGTCCTGTATTTGTATAGTGCCGTCTTAGGGTTCTACAACACAATCGGTCATTCACCCATTCACACACCGCTGGTGATGGTGAGCTACAATGTAGCCACTGCTGCCCTGTGGCGCACTGACAGAGGCAAAAACTGCCAAACTCAGGCACCACTGGTCCCTGCGTCCACCACCAGCAGGCAAGGCGGGTTAAGTGTCTTGCCCAAGGACACAACAGCAGAAATCTCTGGTGGGAGCCAAGATCAAACCTACAGTCTAACAATCCTCTGAGAGAGAGAAGATAAGCGGAGAGACCATTGCTGGTGTGCACTTGGAGCTTTCATTGTTTCATTTTTAAAGCGCACTGATTGGTTGAGAGGCCAGGTGTTGACATGAGATCTCTACTCTGGAGAACATACGGTGCATAAGTGAACCATAAATGTTGTGATGAGGTGGACATTGTCACCTTTCTTCCTGGCTTTGGCAATGACATCAGCAGCAGATTTACTCATCACCTTGGTAATGTACAGCGGGCAGTTGGCCTGTTTCGCAATGGTGATCGCTCGATAAACAGCCTCCGTCTCCACCTGAAGCACAACACAAAGTACTGGTATTCTAACCTTGGTGGGTGTAACCACTGGTATTCTTGTTCTCCTCCACAGAAATCAGAAACCTCCAGCAATTTAAGAGGTTGATGGTTTTTAAGAAGACAATGAAATATGAGAACAAGAAAATAATGAACCCAAATATTTTTGAAAAGGATACAGAGTGTATCGCTGTATCTTAGCATTTCCTGTAAAACCAGGAGGTCTAAAACACTTTTTCTTTTGTAAGATCCATCAGCACCATCTCCTGTTGCAGCACTTGGACCTACAGTCTGCTTCCAAACGTGTGTTTACCTCTTCAGGATGAGATAAAACATGACCTTCAGGTCCAGTTATGCCAAGACTTAGAAGTTTCTTCTGCTCCTGAAAAAAAAACAAGTTTCCACCAGTTAAACCAGTTTAGACTGGGTAAAAACCATTCTTCTTTAAAAAGATGCTGAAAACTCACTTGTTCATGCTGGCTTTTGCATGACCTTCGCCACCACCCACTCCTTATTCGGCTCTTTCTACCTATTCCACCTTTCCCCATGATCCACTAATTTCTCTCTTTCCTATTCATGTTCTCTCTCCCTTTCCTAACATTATTATTTTTATCACAATTTGTATTTTTTCTCTCATTTTAAACATTTCAATCGTTTTTGAAATCTTTTTTATACTTTAAATTTATTTTTGTGAAGTGTCTCACAATTTTTATCTTGAGAGGCGCTACATAAAAGAATGTTTTCTTTCTTTTCTTTATAAAACTAGTTTGAATTAGTTTACTAAAACCAGTAAATTGTTTACACCAGTTTAAACTGGTTTGAGTCAGTTTAATCCAGCTAAAATTAGTTTGCACCAATTAAAGCCAGTTTAAACCAGTTACACCATTGCCCTGATTGTTTTAACTCTATATAAATTTGATTTAACTCTTCTTCTTCAACCAGTTTATGTCCCTTAAATCGTGTTAAAACCAGTTTGAACCAGTAAATGATTTCTTTCTTGAACAATGTCATACATCACTCTGTTACCTCATCAATGATGTCACCGTTCTCAGCATGGACTTGCGCGATGGCACCAAGGTCCCGGAGAACCCCGAACGCCTCGTAGAGCTGATAGCAGGGACAACAAGAAGCAGACAGTTAAACAAGAAATTTAAAAAAAAACAACAACAAACAAAACCATCCAGGTGGTCTACCTGAGAGTCTGAGCTCTGGTATTTGTCTTTGTAGGCCATAAAGAAGAGGAAGGAGTTTACACCTGAAACAGATCTACAGTCAGTTACCTTTGTCTCAGATCAGCTAACCTTTGATTAGTAATTATCCCCTGACCTTGGTCTTTGACTAGTGTCTCCAGCTCCTCATACAGCCCTTCGTGCCATCGAGTGATGTCCAGGTGGAAGGAGAAGTCACAGCATGCCCTCTGCTCCGCCGTCTCCCTTGACTGATCAAACGCTGACAGTAAACTAACTCCCGGCTCCACAAGCACGTGATCGACTGCAGACACAACCAGCAGACATATTAGTCTGAGCCCCTGCAGGCATGTCATCAAGTTTTTGGTGATCACTGACTGATGGTGGTGGTTCCTCCACACAAGGCAGCTCTGGTTCCTTGGTAGAAGTCATCAGCTGGGTTCAGGCCTTTTTGAGGAACGTGCAGGTTCGTGTTGGCATCGATTCCTCCAGGAATCACCAGCTGACCATAGGCATCCACTGTCTTTACACCTGGGGGGATGATCAGGTTTTCGCCGATCTGCCTGTCAAGAAATTGCAGGAAGCTTGATGATGTCAGAAATGATCAAACCAACACCTGAAGGCCAGATGTAAATGCTCAGATGCAGCACGTAGATCATCTGTGATCAGAAAATGCTTACCTAACGGTTCCATCCTCGATGTAAATGTCAGCGTAGAATGACTGGTCGTCATTTACTATCTTTCCTCCTTTGATGATTAGACGATCACCCTGGCAACAGAGGATGTTGGGTAGTTAAGAAGTAACTGTGTTTAAGATGAAGTGACCAGCTAAGTTAAATAGAAGAGTACGTTTAAGAACCCCATATTGGTTCTAGGTTAGACGGGAGGGTTTAGGTGGTTCTAGGTTAGACGGGAGGGTTTAGGTGGTTCTAGGTTAGACGGGAGGGTTTAGGTGGTTCTAGGTTAGAGGGAGGGTTTAGGTCATTGACCCATTCAGGTTCTGGAAAGGAGGTTGGTTTTTTGGGTGGCCTCCATTAGCTTCTGGATGGGGCCTAGGCTGGTAGTCTTGTGTCCGAAGAACTGGATCTGAATTAAACCTCTGGATCTGGAAATTTTGTCATTCGACCATTTGAAGCTGATAAATACAAAACGAGTGTTGTAATTCTGCTGAACCTAACGATGTTCTCCTTTCTAATTTTAACTACAGGCATTAAAACGACCCACACCCCTGAACGCAGCGCGCTACAGCGGCTCCTGCTCGGTTCGTACCGGCCTGGTTCCCCAGACTGCAGCCTCTATCTGTTATGGGCGGCTCGGTGATCGACAGGAGGAGCTGCCTGCAGCATCCTCCTCCAGCCTCTACAGCCTGACATCCCTGCCTCGGAGCGGTTTGGCTCAGGCTGGACCTACCGCGGGTCTGGCACTGCTCTTCTTGGGCTGGAACGACATTCTGATCGGGTATCTGCTAACTGATCCGTCAACAAACACGCGCACAAAAGCGTCTTTTTGTTGTCCCGTCGGCCGTGACGTCACAACGCCGGCAATCAGTCCACAGAGACACGACTTCCGCTACGTAACTTCACATTAAAAGACCGAGAGAGCAGGATGGTTGCTGCCTGGAGACAGTTCTGAGAAATCGTTGAAATTTAAAACAAAACCAACAAATAAACAGAGCCGTGTCCAGGACTTTTAAAATGGGGTGGCCCATGTAGGGCACTTGTTTATTCATGGGTGGCACCAATGCTTATGATTATTTATTTATTTACACAAATATTTTATTTATTTAGTGAATCTTTGAGTTTCACATTGCACAATCACCTTTTTTCATCTTCTTTTGTGGTGGTCAGTAAGTCACTTCTTGTCGCATTACTGCCACCAACTGGAGTTGAGTGGGACTCTAAATATTATGTATGTGAATATGAAAAAATATTAAACAATATTAATACTACATGCCTGGGCTAGAAAACAAGGTGAAAGGTGCATGCAACCACACACTGTTTTGGAGTTTACAGCCCAAGCCTTTTGTCGACAATGTAAAGTCAATTTAAACTGGAACTTAGTGGGGTGGCACCTGGGGTGGCCAATCAGATTCTAGGGGTGGCATGTGCTACCCCAGGCCACTCACTGGACACGTCCCAGCAAATAAATACTCTAAATAAATTTAACACAACAAACCAGAATGTTGTTTTTGTTTAACAGTGTTACATGAGTGTTATTCGTGTTTTCTGATAGAAAGCAGAACTTCAGTTTTATCGCTGGCGAATAAGAACCAAAAAAATAGCTTAATAAAAACGTTTCCTGGCAGAATTTCCTGTAAGAGTCCAAAGACCAGAAAATTAATACATTTTTTCTCTGAATTGTCATCCAGTAGGCGTTTATTTGGTCATCCACAGACTCCATGATGTTATTGCCCATCCACATTTTATGTATAAATTATCACTATTTTATATCCACCTTTAGCAACACCAAAACAGCAATAAATAAATATAGAAATATGACATCTGTGCTGGTCAGATATTTAAATAAAACATAGACTCTGTCTTAGAGACAGCTTCCAAATGCTTAAAAACATGTGTTTGGGGTTGGTCATGATAATTTTAAGATGGATTTCTGGTGGCAGAATCTCAATTTTATTTAATCTGTCATGGTCGTTTGGGTTATTTATTGATTGACTCAGATGGTGAGCAATCTGGTTCTGTTCTGGAACAAGATGCTTCTTTTTGCTGCTCAGTTCAGCATTTTATACCCAGATTTATTTTAGAGCAAAGTGACCCAAGGAGGTTCACTTATTTATTGCCTTGTCTTGTATTTTATTTTATCATGAGAAGCTGCACAAAATAGCTGAAACATTTCCGTGCTGTTCATCAAGGACCTGCTACCGAGCAGAGGACTTACCATACAAAGAAAAAGAAAATCAACTTCAAATGATGGGGGGGGGGGGTTAACAGTATCCAGAATGAAATAGAAAAGTTAAGATAAAACTTCAAATAATAATTTCTAAGAAAGATTTGAAAGAATTGAAAGTACTATTTTTCAAGAGTAGCTCAAGAAACCAAAACCTGTTTTCCTGCAGCAGACTGCTCTGTGTATTTATTCTGTGTATTAATACTATGAGTTTAACCCAGGGTTTACTGATCCAACAATCAATGTTTTGGACCTTTCTGAGCAATGCCCAAGGCCGAATTTCTTTAGTCCTTCAGAACACGTCTCAGACCTGAAACTTCTAAAACTTTTTATTGATACTGTTGTCTAAGTTTTATCAGACAACTATAGTAATGCTGCTCTATCAATGAAACACCTCATTTTTATTTCATTGTGAGTTTTTAAAGAACTTGTATAATTACTTTTTTTCTCAACATTTCAAGGTACTTGGTAAGAATGGCACACTGAATCAAACACACCACCATCCCGGAAATAAACAGGACAGACCACTAAGGGGTTGAAAGCATCGTGCTGTCAGATGTTTCTGCAGAAACCGTTAAATCCAGTTTCAGTCGATGAGCAGTGAATCAATCTAATCATTTAGTTAAAATTTTAAAAACAGTTGTGATATTTTTTTC